TCAAAATTCAGGTTGAGGAAGTCAAGGCAGCAAGATCTTGGAGCAGAGATAATCAGGAACAGAGACATGAACACAGGCAGCTGCTCAGTTCCTTTCCTCCACTTACACAGTCTGGGATCCCAGCCAGGGAATGATGTCACCTACAGTGAACAGGTCTTCCTACCTCAATGCAGTCAAAATAATCCCCCACAGGAGTGCCCAAAGACCACTCTCCCAAGTGATCCTAGATTCTATCAGGGTAACAGTTAACATTAACCATCATACATGCTAACCTACATACATACATACATACATAAAGTAGATAGGTAGATGATAGATAGATAGATAGATAGATAGATAGATAGATAGATAGGTAGATAGAGAGAGAGAGATAGAGAGATAGAGAGATAGATAGATAGATAGATAGATAGATAGATAGATAGATAGGTAGATAGATAGATAGATGAATATCAGAATGAAAAACTATTTTGTATCATGAATATATACTAATTTTAAAAATGCAATGTCATACTTAAAAGACATTGTGCTAAACCTAATCTTTATCATCTCAAAAAATATATATGTAAGTGCTACTTGAAACTTGAAAGCTGAACTGCTATCAGTTCATATACAAACCCTAAGGATGAAGTCGTAGAAAAGGTATCACGGGGCTGGAGAGATGGCTCAGAGGTTAAGAGCACTGGCTGTTCTTCCAGAGGTCCTGAGTTCAATTCCCAGCAACCACATGGTGGCTCATAACCATCTGTAATGAAATCTGGCACCTCTTCTGGCATGCAGGCATAACACTGTATACATAATAATAAATAAATAAATCTTTAAAAAAAAAAAAAAAGAAAAGGTATCACACTTAACACACATAGCCTTCTTTCTCTTTGGGGAAGATGCCCTCCTCCATGACTGGAGTATCATGGTTTGGACTCTAACAAGGTACTAATGAGTCTGAAGGATTGGAGTTTAAAATGCTTACCTGGTATGGGCCCATGATGTTGTGTAGACACTTCCAAGAGCTGCTTGGAACTAAAGTTGTTTTAACTCTTGGAGTGCTGAGCTCCCAGGGGTACTTTTTTTCCTTCCTGTTGCCTGAACAAGACACTTCACTTCACTGAGTATCATTACTGGGCTTCCAAGATGAGCATTAAATTAAGGTAATGCACTGTGGTGTTTAATACATCACAAAATCTGATAAATCTTAACTGTAATTATTGGTGCGAAAGGCAGTGCTTTGCTTCTCTTTGATCTACAATATCCCTGCTTCTCTTGAGTAACAAAATGTGCATGAGTTAACTAGTGCCATGTATACCTCTTAGGGCCACTCAATTAAAATGGTAGAGAAGAGGCCATGTTCTTTATATGCATTACTTCCCAACTGAGTTAAAGGTAGCAGTTTGTTGGTTGTTTGTTGTTTGAAGAACAGTCTAGACTCAAACCTGCTATGTAGCCAGATTAACCTTCAATTCCTGATCCTGCCTCTACAGGCCAAGTTCTGGTTATGTCCCAGCATGTTTAGCTAAATGTGACCATTTATACTCTTATAAAACCCTTTGATTCTGCCTCAAAAATCTAAATGCTAAAATATGAGACATATTGGGCCATCACAACTATGAATCAACCTGATGAGCTTCCAAATTCATTCCTTATTTATGCATGTCTATATTAACATTTGAGAGAATTGGTCTCAGAAATGTTCTAGGATTTGTCTATTGTTCAACAAATAATCAGTAATAAGAGCAAAATAAGTTGTTTCTTTTTTACTGTTAAAAAAGACAAAATAAAAACCTGTGAGGACTAAGAAGATGGATAAATGAGTAACAGCAGTTGCTACGAAAGCATGAGGACTTAAGTTTGAGTCTCTGATACCCATGTAAAAAGCTGAGCATGGCCATGCTTGCCTGTAACCACAGCATTGGATGACACAGACAGGTGGCATCCCAAGCACTCAAGGACTCCAGGCTAGGCCAAAGAGCGAGCTTCCTGTTCATTGGAAGACTCTGTCTCAAGGGACTATGGTAGGGGGCAAGAGATAAAGACACCTGACATCCTCCTGCGGCCTCCCCACGTGTGGGCACTGCTACATACACCCACACACGCAGGTGCACAAGTTACACACACAACACACACACACACAGACAGACAGATGAGTGCAAAAGTAAAAGGGAAGGATTGCTGGGATGATAAAAATAGACAACAGTAAAAAACAAGATCCAAAGAAAGAGTTAGCCGACCAGTTACCACCAGGAACCTTTATGGAAATAGATGTATCTGTAGACAGAAGTGTCGGGTACTCTGTAAAGTGGGGAAATCAGCAGAGATTCCAAGAAGTTCTTTGTAACCTTTGCTTATGGAGTATTTGTTGCGATGTCAAACAAAACAATGAAATGAAGAAAGGCTTTCCTTTCTACTGAACTGTGCCAAATTGACTTGCCTGGAAAGTGCAGCAGGCAAGTTCTCTTCTTGGATTTTCTCTTAGATAAACATATACTTTTACTTATATTAAATCCATTTGTACATTTTCATAATAGACAGCTGCAGGCATCACAGACTAACTGTAAATATACACTATTTGCCCTTGATTAAGTTACCAGATAATAGGGAGAGAATGCCCCCACTAGACATCTTTTGCCACCAAGTGAAATCTCCAGTGCCAGGAATGGGTTACATATAATTGAGTCGTTGGCCAAAAGGACTCCAGGGAAACCCCCAAACAACTAAGGATATTTCCAAGGCTATTGGTTGCTCTCCACAACCTAATGGTAGGCCCTTATTGCAGAAGGCAACACTTATATATATTATGGAAAACACAAGCTGAGTTGGTGCCTAACTAGAGCGTTCACCCCTACTGACTAATGTTAACGGTACTATGTTAAAGGTACTATGCTCACTATCAGAGGAGAAAGGCAAACGCCAACCCAGCTATAAAACCTGCACCCTACAATGGAGTTGCCTGCATGATACACTGGTGCAATAATGGTACCACATTGTGGGAGTAACCAACCACTGTCTGACTGGATTTAAGGCCCACTCCGTGAGATAGAACCTAGGCCTGATACTGCTCATGCAGCCCAGACTAGAGAGACCATGTACCTAGGGGAAACCCAAGTATTATTGTTCTGATAAAGGAATGTAACAATAAAATGACTCCTAACAACATTCTGCTATACTCACAGATCACTGTCTTGCTCAGCCATCACCAGAGAACCTTCCTCATGCAGTAGAGGGGAATGACTACAGAGACCCACAGTCAGACATTATCCAGAGAATGAGAGACCTTAGAATACTCGGCCCTAAGCGGTATCTCTTCATCCAAGCCCTCCCCTCCCAGCTCAGGGAACTCTGTAGAAGAGGAGGCAGAAAGATTGTAAGAGTCAGAGGGAATGGAGGACACCAAGGAAATGGTGTTTTCCAGATACAACAGATTGACACGCATGTGAACTCATAGACCCTGTTGACAGCGTGCACAGGGCCTGCATGGGTCCAAGCTAGATGAAATCCCAGCACAGAGAAGGGGAAGTGAGCAGGAGCTCCCATCCCTAACGAAAAACTGGTTTTCTCCAACGAGTCTTACTCGGTATACAAAGTACTCGTAAGGACAAGCCCCAACCACGCACAGCAGTAGATGACCAACACAAAATGAACTCAGTGGTGTTTCTTTTTTAGACTTTTTGTCCCATATTACTTTGTTTGGGCCTTTTTTACCTCACTGGTCTTTTGCTTGTAAATTATGGTTTCTAATTTTCTGTTTTTATGTGGTGTGTGTGTGTGTGTGTGTGTGTGTGTGTGTGTGTGTGTGTGTGTGTTTCTTGTGCTTTTTCTTTATTATTTCTTGGTTTTGTTTTGTTTTGTTTTGTTTTTTTGTTTGTTTTTTTTTTGTTTGTTTTTTTTTTTTTGGTTTTTCGAGACAGGGTTTCTCTGTGTAGCTTTGCGCCTTTCCTGGGACTCACTTGGTAGCCCAGGCTGGCCTCGAACTCACAGAGATCCGCCTGGCTCTGCCTCCCGAGTGCTGGGATTAAAGGCGTGCGCCACCACTGCCCGGCTTATTTCTTGTTTTTTAATTCTTGACTTTTGGGGGAGTTTAAGAAGGCATGGACTTGGATGGGTGGGGAGATGGGGAGAATCTGAGAGGAGGTGGGGGAGAGAAAACTGTAACTAAAATATATTGCATAAAAATTATTGTTTCTGATTAAAAATTAAAAAAAGAAAATCTGACATAGTGAGGATATGGTTTTAACAAAGAGCATTTGTCCTGCCGATGCACAGCCGTAGGTTTGACCACCTAGCACCACAAAAAGGAAACAGTAGTGCCTACTTACCAATGAGGGTAAATCTCCAAACATCTTAAGCTTCAAGTTAAGGTTTCTCTTCCTCAGACTAGTTACACGTACACATTTGATATTATCTACATCGCTGTGTGCTGTCACTTGTTTTAATTAATATGGGGACCTGGGAAAGTGGCTTCAGTAGGTAAACCATTTGTGCAGCAAGGGTGAAGACTGGAGTTCACGTCTTCAGCAGCACATAAAAACCCAAGTGGGTATGGGGGGCTTGCGTGTAATCCCAGAGCTCAGGAGTCAGAGACAGGCAATCCCCAGAGAAGCTGGCTAGCCAGCCTAGCCAAATCACCAGCCTTGGGTCTAGGTAGAGACCCTGCTTCAGTAAATAAAGTAGAGAGCAATCAAAGAAGACACAGGATATCAGTATCAGTCCTCCACACTCATACAAAAAAATAAAATAAATATGTTGGTGTAGGGCATACTAATCTCAGCGTTCAAAGGTCTAGAATTTCCTCCTTGCCATTTCCTCAATAAGCCGCCTGCTGTTCTTGCATTCTCAATGGCTTTAGGACTGCAAGTTCTGGCTTCATTCTTGGAGGTGTACACTAATTTCCACAACCCTGTTTGGTCAGCTTCTGATCAAGGCAGGAAGCACCAGGATTGATGCTTGCTTCGGGGTTGGAATTAAAAATGAAAGAGACACCAAAGCAAATTAAGTCATCCTCTACTTACAGATGACACATGCTGCAAGAGACACATGACATCAATCATGTCCGCAAGGATAAGGAGTCTTGTCACTGCTGCCAACAAGGCGCGGGCGGCTTGAACCACAGCCTCCCTTTTCGGGAGGTAACAGGGGTCATCTGTAAATCTCTCGGCCGATACCTTCAGAGCATTGCCTGAAAAACACAACCCCAAACAAGTTATCATTTAAGTTTCAACGACACCTTCTCCAGCATTCATCAGCCAACCTAACTCCAAGAATATTCCACAAATAACCACGATACGAAAACAAACTGTCATAGGATACAGAGAGCAACACATCTTAAAGCGGACGACGCAGCTTCGAATCAGCATTTGTTTTTGATGAGTGCTCTGGGGTTCAAAGAAGCACGATGCCATCTTCTCCTGGAGACAATTGTTCTCAGCAGCATCAAGTGAAAACGGCCGCCTGCTTCTGCGGCTGCTCCGTCCCCACGGCTGTGAAATGGCTCACGACTAAGATTTCGTTCAGTCACCAAGGTTCATGTTTGTAAGAGGAAAGGAACTCTTCACTGAGTTGCTCTCTAACTCCGTGGAGAACAGAGGTATCCTTTAAAGCAATGACAGCAAACTGAGGGTGTAACTCAGTACCAAGGGTGCTTGCCTGGCACGTGTGAATCCCTGAATTCAATCCTCAGTACCCGCAAGCCAGGCATGCCAGGGCGCACTTACAATCACACCACTTTAGAGGTAGAGATCCGAAGTACGAGGTCATTCTCAGGCTACACGAAATATGATAGCATGGGATGTGATCTCCTCTCTCTGATGATAGCTTAACACAGGCAGATTTATGCTATACAATGTATAGAATAAGGTATACTGTAACGTTAGTCCCGAAAATAATATCACAAGCACTTAATTGTAAGAGAAACATAATCTCTTCTATTTCAAGGTCTTTTCATTTAAGATATTTACTTTTAAAGCTACCAATATAGCAGAGTCTAAAATGAAAAGGGAAAGATGGTCTTCTCCATCCCCACCCCTGGTAACCAAACTCATAGAGAGAATGACTACATCCGCTGTTCACGTTTCATAATATAAACTTATTTCATCACTAAAATGATATGTGTCTGTTTCTTTTCTGTAACCCTGTAGAGGTGGTGAGAAGGCTCAGTGAGTAAAGGTTTCTGCCACCAAAGCTGTCGACCTAAGTTCAAGCCCCAGGATCCGCATAGTGGAAGGAGAGAACTGATCCCCCTAAGTTGTCATCTGACCTCCACACACATGGCCTGGCATGCACACACACTAAAGAAGTTAATTAATTAATTAACAAGTAGATACAATAAATCTCCTTAAATAATGATAATTCAGAATACTAAAGAATATGAAGTAAAAACATTTAATTCTCCATACTAATCCCTAAAATCACCAACGATTCTGTTTTTATACACATATTTAGAAATTACTCCCTGAATTTGTATCATGTGCTATGTATATACACATTTATTTATAAATGTAATCTTCATGCTTTATATATGTACACTTTGCAAATATATTCACATACATCCACATTCTATATGTATATATAAAACAGAGATTTCATGTCATATAAAAACATAATCACTATATATAGTGGGTAGCCATTCCAGCTTTGGTCTGGAAGTTCCAGCCCCCATTGAGGCTTCGGTAACTATCACGCCTACAAGGCGGGGCCAAGGGAAGGCCCTGAAGACCCGAGATCGGATGCGCCGCGCTCTTGCTTCTTGGAGCCTGGACGCTAGATGTAGACCAAGGAGAGTCCTCCAGGAACACCGCCGGACTGCACTGCATCTTTCCCAGAACCCGCAATCTACCTATCCCTTTATTTGTAAGTTACGCCATTAAATAAATCTCCCTTTTAACTATGTGGAGTGGCCTTAATAATTTCACCAATAACTATACATATTATAAATGGGAAATAGGATGGCTCTTGAGCTGCTTCTCAAGGAGCATCATCTCCTAGAAAGTCTCTACAGTTCGTTACTTGTGCTTACCAGTTACTTTCTGCACACAGTAGGACAGATGGTCAAGCGTCATAGCAATAGAGTGCAGGTGTCAAAGCCAGACTGGTTCCATGTGTCTATTCTCATGCCTTCTTTGTGCTCTACTCTCCTTGGTTGTAAATGGAGTAATAAAAATAGCAGCAATTTATCCCTAACAAAATATTTGGTTGTGTTTTTTTTTCAGAGATTAATAAGCTAGTCTTAAAATTCATATAGAAATTTCAAAAGACTAATCATAACCAAAACCATCTAAGAAAAAAAAGAAACTGTTGCTCTTATTTCAAAACTTATTAGAAAACTATTTTTAAAAAATAGAATTGACATTCCCAAAAGCAATCTTTAGCTGGGCAGTGGTGGCACACACCTTTAATCCTAGCATTCAAGAGGCAGAGAGGCAGGTGGATCTCTGTGAGTTCAAGGCCAGTCTGGTCTACATAGCTAGTTCCAGGACAGCCAGGGCTACACAGAGAAACCCTGTCTTGAAGCAATCCTTAACATTTATGGTCAACTGGTTTTCAACAAAGGTTCCAAGAAAAGTCATTAAGAAAGTGGCCATTGAGTGTGTGTGTGTGTGTGTGTGTGTGTGTGTGTGTGTGTGTGTGTGTGTGTTTTATTTTGTAACAATTTTTCAATAAATGCCTCCAGGATAATTAGATTGTCATATGAGAGAAAAGAACATGGCTGTCTCACATTACATACAAAAGTCAACTCAGAGTGAATCACAGAATCACATGCAAGAGCTTAAACTATAAAACTTAGGATAGTAAAACCTCATGATCTCAGGTTCTGTGATAATGTCTTAAATTTGGCACCAAAAGTACATGCAATAAAATAACAAACTAAACTATCAAAACCGAACATTTATGAACTTTATTTTTAAGATGTATTATTATTTTTAAACATGTGTTTGTATATATATATATATATATATATATATATATATATATATATATATATGCATGTATGTATGAATATATTTGTGAGTGCAGCTGCCTGAAGAGGCCAGAGATGTTAGGTTCCCTGGAGCTGGAGTTACAGGTGGTTGTGAGCTGCCCCAAGGGGATGCTGAGGAAAAAGCTCAGGTCCTCTGCAAGCACAGTAAATGCTCTTAACCACTGAGCCATCTCTTCAGTCATAAATTTCTGGACTTTAAATGAGAGCATCAAGAAAGTAAAAGGGGGAACTGGGGCGATGGCTCAGCAGTTAAGAGTATGCACTGTGCTTAGAGAGGACCCAAGTCTGGACTGTCCCAGAATCTACATGGTCTCACAGCTGTCTCTAATTCCATTTTCAAGGGATCTGACACCCTCTTCCGCCTCACTTTTCTGACCTCCAAGGGAACCAGGCACACAGGTGGTGCGCACACATGAATCAGGTAAAAATACTCATAGATATAAAAGAAATTAAATCTTTAATTTAAAAAAGAAAATGAAAAGACAATCTATGAAATGAGAGAAGATACCTAAGAAGGAGCTTATATCCCTTCCATCAGAGGAGAGAAGCAGTGCCAATGCATTGCTATTTGCTAAGAGATTGAAGAGATAAGAAAAGAATCCCAAGTAGAAGCAGTGACAATTATGACGGCATCTGTAGAACCTCTGACCCCTAGACATCTGCACTAGCTTGTGCTGCTGAGGAAATGCCAGCTCACTAAGGGTAAGCAGCTTTGCCTGCGGCCAAACAAGCAAGGAGATGACAGAACATGATTCCAGCTCAACTATGCTGAACTCCAAGGACTGTGCTCTCATCACCACAATGTGTCCTTTCTAGATACGACGGTATCCCATTGATGGACCCAATAATCAAATATGTCAACATTTCCTTTCCCATCCTGCAGTTCTGACAGTGTATGGTTGTAAGCAAAGGTTAAGTTTGCCAAGAATCTGACACACATATCAAGACTGCTCACAAAGCTCCCAAGTGAAACTCTCAGGTGAAACTTCGGGAGGAAAATAAATTCAATGACCCTGACTTTTCAGACAGTCTATAGAAAACTCCTGGTCATTTGCAAGTCTCCATTAACTGGCTCCCTGGTATGGATGTAAGGTCAGAAATCAGTATCTACCGTGTAAGTGTTATTCAGTAACTATTACAATTGAATTAAATGAAAAAATATAGTTTAAAGTTTATAACTTAATAATTAAAAGATAAACCAACTTTTAAATTTATTTATTTTATTATTTTTATCTATATAAGTATTTTACTTGCATGTATGTATGTGCATCATGTACATGCCTGGTGCCATGAAGACAGAGAGGGAATCACATTCCCTGGCACTAGAGTTACAGACAACTGTGAGTCACTATGTGGTTGCTGGGACTTGAACCCAGGTCCTCTGCAAGAACAACAAATGCTTTTAACTGCTGAGCTAACTCTTCAGCTCTTATCCAGCTTTTAAATAGGTCAAGGCCCTAAATAGGCAATTTAAAGAAGAAGAAATGCGCATGGCCAATAAGCACATACAAAGATTTTCTAGCGTTAATATAATCTAAATTATTAAAGCATCATTACATCTATATTAAGGTTTTAGCAAGGCCTTTTGTCAAGATTATGGGTGATTGGTTAAAAATAGGCACATATGTGCAGTAGTCAGAAGCGAGACGTTAAGGACTGAACAGCACAGAAAGAGAAACAAGAATGACTGTGTCTACGTATGTACCAGAAATGGTCACTGTGCCAACTGTTACGCACAGGAAACAACTCCTAGAAGGAAGCAGTAGAAAGGCAGCATTTACATTGACACTAGCTTCTTCCCATGGTTGGGGATTGGGGAAACTCAAGATTATTAAAAGGTTGATTAGAGGGTGCTGGAGGAGGTCTCTGGTGTACAGTACTGCAACAAACCCCTTGAAGAGGTGCTGGAGAGATGATTCAATGTTTGAGTGCGCACTGCTCCTGCAGAGAACTTGTTAGCTTCCCAGCATCCACATTAGGTGACTCACAATACTAACTGCAGCTCCAGGGAATCCTCTTCTGGCCTCCACAGGCAACTTCAGTTACGTAAACATATCCTCACAAATGCATAGAAATAAATTTTTAAATGTCAACAAATCTTTCTTTAAAAAAAAAATGGTGTTGGACTGGAGAGATGGCTCAGTGATTAAGAGCACTGGCGGCTCTTCCAGAGGTCCTGAGTTCAATTCCCAGCAACCACA